GAACATAGAATATGATCATATAACTCGTGATTATCTTTTTTATTTGGGAGTATATGAGTCAAGATTATCTTATAGTCATGCTTATCCGATCACCCACTATGGGTCCCAATTCCTTCGTCCCACTCGATTTATTGTATAATTGGATAGACAGTCAGGATCAGCCAGGCTAAATAAGAGCAACATGCGCCTTGTTCATGGAACATTGACCTTTGGTGGCTGGTGAATGATTGGGTTTTGAGTGCTTGGCGGAAATCTCGACCATCAATACACCACGATGATGTTTAGGTGCATGTAACATTACATCATTATTCGAGCTTTATTTCAATTATTTGAATAAATTTATTTTTTTGAAAATTTGTTTTACTTTATGCAGAGTAATTTATTAATCGAAAGGTTTTTTTACTTCTCCTATAATACAAAAGAACTATCCTCCCCTCACCATCCAGCCATCCAATTTTGATCAATAGAGCCACTCACTATTTGATCTTAGATCCGACGTCTCAAAGTATTTTATTTTAATTGTTTTATATCTAAATTGTATGAATATGAAATTTGGTACATGTCATCTTCTCATTGGGGCATACTTATAAAATATTAAAAATAATTTTTCAATAAAATATAATGATCAAAATACCCTTTTAAACTTTCAGGGGTATTTTCATCATTTTATTTCATTGAAAATATTTTTTTTATATTTTTCGCTAGTGCGAGTTTAATAGAGGAATGACGTCCAAAATATGGTGTCAAAATAGTTTATAGAAAAAAAATAAAAAATAAAATAGTGTAGAGACGTGACATTGTGATTGGGGCAATCTTAGGCCTCCATTCAAAATGGACGGTTGGATAAACGAAAGGATATAAGTTTTATGTTGCAGGAGAAGCGTAGAAAGCTTGCCCACTTATTAAACCTAACATGTTCTTAGCTACAAATAATTAAAAATAGTTGTAACTTATAAATCATTGAAGAGATAATATTTAAATAATATGTTATACATAGTATAAAATATGTACCAAACAACTAACAAAATATTTTTATACAAAGTATATTAATTTCAGATAATCTTTGACTTTTCACTCAATGTTTCACTAAATTTGTTCAAATTTATCTCAAATGTTGCTAATACATTGATCTACAAAAGCCCTGGCCTTCTAAATCCAAACCAAAATTTTACAACATTATTCTTTTTTTACTATTTTGCCGCCTTTTCTTTGAAATGCTTTTAATTTCAATTTTTCCGAACTCTTCTGCCGCCTTAGTTGATGGCATTCCCCTTTGTGGAACCACGGGGCACTCCAACTTGGTATCTCGGAAGAAGTATCTAAAGTTCAGTTGTTGAATAGACAAGCTCTTTCGCTCCCTCGGCCCTTTGTTCCGTTATTTCCGGGCCCCTTGTTTCGGTATTTTCGGGTTACGAACTTTGGAGGAACAAGAGCGTCTTGTTCATTTTTACTTTTTTATTTTAATTTTTTTTCAAATAATTTGTTCTTGGTTGTCTTAGATAGGGTTTAGTTAAATTTTAATAATACTTTATTTTATTTTATTTTTGATTCAGGGTATACCTCAAAAAATTCAATCGAATTAAATATTTTCAGAAATATTATTTAATTTTTGTTTTGGTTCAAGGTTGTCTCAATTTATGATTTTTATGTCCAACTGTTGGATGGGTTTTTAGATAGCTTTTGAATAATATTTGTATTTATTTAAAATTTTTTCTAGACTTAGGGCTTCCTGAAAGTGTTTGAAAAAAGATTTATTTTATAAATATTATGATAATTTTTTTTGTTCTAATCTCTCTTAGGTTTGGATTAGTTATTTTTATTAATATTTGCAATTTTTTATTTTTTTCTCTATTTTCCAAAGAATTTTTCCTAAAATTTAACTTTTTTTATAAATATTATGTTAGTGTTTTTTTTTTTGAATTAGCTGGGGCTAAGATTTTACTGTGTCTTGTTAATTAGGGTTTAGTCCGCTTTTTTCGTTCTTTTTTTTAGGCTGCACTTTAGACCGTGAAGACCATGTGGTACTTAGACGTCTTTTTGCATAATTTGGTCAAAATATATAACAAAATCATCAATTTATCATAAAATCAACTAATTTTGATTTTAAAAATCTTTTGAATATTTCTTCAATTTTTTTTTCCCTATTTAGGATGGCCGAACAAGTTGAACCAATTCGGTTCGATGTGTTCTGGTGGACTAGGAATCCGTGAGTGTCATGTTTGGCCGCCCGATTTGGTTTTTAAAACACTAGTCTAAACTATAAGTGGTATGCTTATTATTCTAATGCAGGCGTCACAAATTATGCATCATCTCCATTTTTAAGGTGGATATGCAACCGCAGCAGGCAATCCTCATGCCACTATGCAGAGGAAAAATTGATTTTCCTAAGGACACGAGAACTCATGTTTTTCATACCTAGATGTTGTATTTTGGCGCAATCAATTTTCCTAAAAGGATTAGCAATATTTTTTGTTCAGCGAATGATTGTTTCTCGGTGAATCTAGTGTGCCATGGATGATGTGCACCAAAACATGGAATTGATGGTATTTTCCGCTTGGTTATTGGTGACTTAAGTAGAGGCAATGTCCACCAAGAAGCTAGGAATGTTGCCCTTAATGGTGGACTTTGTTTTGATTGGAGGAACTCGATCTCGATTCACCATGTTCCAAAATTAGAGACACTGTGGAGTAAACATAGGACTTAACTTAGTCTACTTCAAAATTTATAGCCGAATTATCTCAGGATTCTTTCATAACGGGTTATAATGTTTTATGCAATTAGAGATCCATGATTTTTAATCTTTCCATTTTGCTTTCGTTAGAGTAGGCACAGAGGAATCACAGAGCATGTAGTAGCAACCAATCTAGCCGTACTTTCGCGCTCAACGTGAGGACTCTAGTGGGCGATAAATTAGCTGAAATAGTTCTCTTTGAGCCATGAATCTGGTATCTCAGGATCGGTCCATGAGATTTTCAGATACACGAAGGTGATGACCTGCTGCTCATATAGTTGTTGATGTTGATACTCTCCATGTGATTGTCGAAGGGACTTGCCAAAAATATTTGTCTTTATGCCTCTTAAGGAGAAATTTTTTGGAGCCGTAGGTCTTCACCATCAGTAAAAGAATGATGATTCTCTGATGATGTAATCTCTTTTGAATAAATTGCAATAAAAGACTATAACATTTGTAAAAAAGAGCGGATGATGACGATTCAACAACAAAAAATCAAGAGCGATTTGTTTTTCAAACTAGGGAGTAGGATGCCAATTGCATTCGATACATTCAAGAATAGGTCGATTAAAATTTTTATTTATTTTTTAATTTGATTTTCAAAGATGTAGGAAAACCTTTTATTCGTTAATATGGTTAATATTTAGGAATTGTAGCATAAGGGTTAGAAAGGGCTATTTATTATGGGTAGGGTACCCCTGACCTAATCAAAGAAAAAGGAAAATATTTTTAGTTGTTAACTATTTAGGCAAATACAAACATGATTTGTGCTTTCCTATAGAGCCAAAAACGCCTTATGATCTGTCATTTGACAAAAATTTAAGTTATTACAAATTTTTTCTTTCGTTTTAAATTGCAATCTTCTTTGTCCTTTTTGGATGAACAAGAATGATTTGATTTCTCTAGATATGAATGTATTTCATATCCTATTGCAGTATATTTGATTTTCATTTGGTGCAATAATCAACTCTTTGTTGGATTTCACATGTTCATATGCTAGTACGACTATCGGATTGCAAATGTGCAGGATGTTTCTTAATAAAGTCACTTGAAAAAGTGAAATAAATATTACGTCATCCATCGATAAGATCCCTTTAAAACAATAAATTGTGCAGCGAATTCCATTATGAAGATTTAACTTTATTGGAAGAAAACATAAAACTCGAGAATTTTCCATCATCGTTCCGATTTCATTGCCACATGGTCAGCTGTTTTTTTAAGAATTCATAGCTTCTTTTTTGTTTTTTAGTCTTTCGCAGCTTCAAGTTTGTTGAACCTTGTTTTCTGAGTAATTTAGAGTCCTATTGGCTCAAAATATGACATAAACGACAGTAAGAGGACCACTCTTGTTTGACCTAAATATATATCTATTTTAGTATATGCCACCTTAATTTTCAAGTTTCTTGTATAGAATTATATACAAAGAGAGAAAATGGTTTGTCTAAACACCATTATCTTTTGTACATGGAATCACAATTATTCTTTCTCATTATGAAAATGAATTGTCTACAAAAACACCATTATTTTTTGTACATAGAGTCACAATCATTCCTACTTATTATGTGTCAAATTGCATGACTTAAGGTGAATTTATATAATCCGAGAATTTATTTTTTGGAACGTTGTGCTCATTCAATAATACTCTTATCACCACCTATTTTAAAATTTGTCTCAAAAATGATTGTAACCGCTATATACAAAAGATAAATCGTCTTTTTATAGACAATCCCCGATAGAAAAACTTATTACCTGTACCTAATCTGATTTTGAATGATGACAAGGCCCGTAATTTATATTTTAATAATTTTGCAATATGACAAGTTTTCTACCATGTCGAGATTGGGTTTCCAGGTTCTCTTATCTATATTTTGGGCAAGGCATAACCTATGGGCAAGCCAATTGGGGCGAATCTTGTTTGTTTTATCAAATTTCATAAAACTATAAGACTCGGACACTTATTGAAACTAGAATTAACTCTACTACTTGTATGATTCAATGTAATTTCATGACTATCATCTTTATTTATCAGTCAACTACAATCCTATTTTAGGGAACGTTTCATCTGACAATGTGGTTTTCTTCGATGCAATTTGAAATCTAATAGCTAGGGATGACTGTGAGCTCTTTTATAGGAATTGTAAATGATTTCATTATATACTACCCTTAAAATTGAAGGCAAAAAAGCAAACAGGAAAAAACAAAAAAAAACCTAAAATTCAAGGCAAAAAAGCAAACAGGAAAAAAATAAAATAAAGGCAAAGCATTGGATTGAGAGGTGGTATGAATTTATGAGCACAATAAAAATAAATAATAATAAACTCCAATGCCCCATCCCAATTTGAATATCACCTGCACAATACAGGAGCACAGAGAGAGAGACTAAGCTGGTATACATGGGAATTTCCATCAGCGGCACTGATTCTGAGCAAACGTAGGGGACCTCACTACTCGGTCCAATAGCCGCTTAAGCCGCTGGGCCCCACGGCCAGGGAGCAGCTTCGTGGGGTCCCCAACCTCACTACACAGAGGATCTCCTGCACACCACCCTCCAGGGGTAAAACCAGATTTCGAAGCCAGATCAGAAGACGTAGCATTAGCAGTCGCATTTCGAGAGAGGAGTTGAGAATCGATGGCATCAAGAACAGGGTCATCTTTTGGAAATTTACGAGCAAAGGGGGCATTAGAGGCCAACATAGCGGGATAATCATTTGGAGAGAGTGAGTGAGGGTGTTGTCGAGGCGGCTTGTCCCAAGAGATGAAGTGGAGATCATGGTTTGCGACGGTGGGTCGAAATTCAGGGGAGTTGCAAATGACAGTGTGGAAATAGCCCTCAGGTGAGGAGACAAAGTTGGTGTAGTACATGAGGAGGGTTCGGGGGAGGTTGTCCCAACCCCATATGCAAAACTCTACGAATGCACGTGAGAGCACCATCCACGCTGACCCTAGAAGAGATGGTGAGAAAAAACACAATGTTGTCAGCCTTTTTCGGTTTGGTGGGAAAACAAAACAATTCGGTGCCGATTCGGAAGAAGACTTTGGAATTTTCAAAAATATGTAATATAAAAAAAATATATTAAAAGAATAAAAATTTCAAAAACATAAAAAAATAATAATAAAAGACGATTATATACTCGCCCGAAGATTCCAAATCAGACCAAAGCACATAATTGCATTTAAAAAAGACAATTTTGTTCTTTGACCAAGGAGGCCTAAGCTGATGCATCAAAGCTTGCTTCACTTTGGTCTAGACCGAAAATCTGAAGACTTCAGCCTCTTCAGCAAAAGAGGAGCGAAATTTGATAACTATGGGAAAATATAATAACATTGGGAAAATAAAGCAATTCATGATACATCCATTTTCCAATTTTGCTTTTATGGATTCTCCCTCTTCCAAAGAGGGGAGCAGCCAGCGGGAAGCTTGTATTTTTAGATACAACACGTGTAAGTATAATGTGTGTGTTCACATACGCATAGGCACAGGTGTGCGTATATAGTGAGAGAGAGAGAGTCCCGATTAAAGCCTTGAATTATAGCAGCAAATCAAAAGTTCAAAAAATTAAAAATAGCAAAAAGTTTCCAAAAACATAGGAAATGTATATTTAAAGAATTACAGCAGCAAATCAAAAGTTAAACAAAAATTAAAAATAACAAAAAATTTCCAAATAAAATAGGAAATGTATATTTAAAGTAAGATTAAGCAAAACACTTCAAAATATGTAAAAAATAGATTTTCAAAAAAAAATATTGTTGCATGCGGGCTCGATCGCATTCTACATACACGGTTCAAAAAGTGTAAAGTATCCATTTTAAAGATGTAAATAGATTTTAAAAAAGAAATATTGTTGCATGCAGGCTCGATCGCATTCTACATATACGGTCCAAAAAGTGTAAAGCATCCATCTTAAAAATGGATGCAAGTAGGTGTTCCATCTAAAAACAATGAAAACTAACTGTTCAAATGTTTTTTTACTAGAATTATTATTTTTAGAGATTACTTGTCCTTAAAAATTAAGTCTTATAATCCATCTCAAAAATATATTTATTAAGAGGCCTGTATTTCTACGTATGTGGTCCATAGAAACCAAGTCTTTTATAGACTCAACATGTGACTAGGGGTGTTTTTGAAATAATAAAAATGACGGTTAAATATAAAAACAAATATTTATGGCCAAAACACTTTTCAAACACTTTTCAATCTTTGCCAAAATGATAGAAAACATAAAAAACATATCCCAAATAAATTCCTTACTTTAAAAACTTTTACTTTTTTTTTAAAAAAAATTAATATTCCCAAATTGGAGACCCAACACAGGACAACTAGCGAGGGCACGAGCCTGACTAACTCAGCCGAGTAGAAAATACTCTGGCTGACTTTGCTAACACTAATGTATACAGATTTTCAAACATATAGAGGAGTTTTCCTTTGTCAATCATGATCATTGGGCATGTTAGATGCTTTGACTGTACAATCCATATATGTATATAGAGGGTGCTGTTTGTATAGAGCCTAGGCTCTAAACGATCAAATTAGAGCCTACCATCAAATAGTGTCAAAAAATGTGACACTATTTATTACTGAAAATATTTGTGAGAGCCTTAAAATATATTTTCAACTTTTAATAATAAAATTTTAAAAATCTTGAAAATTGACAGTCCAAAAATACATTAACAAAATATACTATTTCCAAAACTTGAAATCCAATTTTTTCTTATGTTCATACATCTTGATGTCGATGATCAATTTGGGATATTTAAGCATCAAAACAACCTCTTCTAATGAAATTTTTGAAGTATTAAACATTTTCATATATATATATATATATATATATATATATATATATATATAGAGAGAGAGAGAGAGAGAGAGAGAGAGAGAGAGCACGACGACTACAGTACGTACGTAGGTAGGGTAGGGGGTTAGGGTAGTAGTAGTAC